TGGGAGACGGAGGTTTCAGTGAGCCAAGATCACACGACAGCATTCCGGCCTGGCAACAGAGCGAGACTCAGTCTCAAAAAAAAAAAAAAAAAAATTAGTGTATGATATGCAAGGTGACCAGCCATCCCAGTTCCTCTGGAACTGAGGGTTTCCTGGGACATGAGACTTTGAGTGTTAAAGTTGAGATGGTTGGTCACTGTAAGACGTGAGAAACAGAATGGTCTATTTAATAAAGGGTATTGGGTTATCTAAGTAAAGCTGTGGTGCCCACACTTTGCTGTATATTGGAATCACCTGGGAAATGTTTAGGACTACTGATGCCTAGTTCCTATCTGAGGCATTCCAGGGTCATTGGTATGAGGTGTGACCTGGGCATCAGGATTTTTAATGGGTAACAAAGCTTGAAAATCACTGGGGTAACCATCATGGGGAACACGAAGCTGCTCCCTACCTTGTATGTGTAAACTTTCTCATGGGTTAAATATTTCTATGTAAGGAATAAAGGATTCTAGACAGTGACTGGATTTGCTTGCTCCAAGGGAAGAAGTTTGACCTCTTCCATGAAAAGTCTGGAACTTCTGGAGCTGGGGCCAGGTGCAGCACACAGACTCAGGGAGTTTCAGGGGAGCACCTTATTCCTGTGCCTCTAGGAGGGGTGGACATTTTCCCTGGAAGCAAACAGATCTGGCTGAGGACAGTCTATCTCTGTTGTACCTAAAAAATACAGGCACCTCTTCACATCTCAACAATGAAGTCCCAGATCACCACTCTGACTGCCTCCAGCTCACCATAAAATCATCTCCCACTGTATATTACACTGTCCAGCCATCCACCACTCGCTGAGAGACCTGCACTGGTGTCTTAGGAACCCTTTGTTGCCAGCAAGAGCAAAGACAGGTCACATGCCACATCTTGCTGAAGTGAGTTAGTGTTTTGGAAGGTCAAATGGAGGAACTAATTTATACCACAAAGAAAAAAAATATGAAATGGGTGCTATGAGTGTAAAGTTAAGTGATTTGGAGGGCAAATTCCAGAGATATTCCAGGAAGAGAAAAAGGCCATTGGGGAGAGAAATAAAAAAGAAATAGCAAGAATCTTCCTGTAGCTAAAGATGTGGGACTTGATACGGAAAGGGCTCAGCAAATGAATCTCACGTAAAATTAATGAGACCCTCATAAAATTTAAAAAGACCCTTATCCAGACATAGTTGGCTGGAATTTCTGAACTCTAAGAGTGGAGAGGAAATTGTATCAGCTTCCAGACAGAAGGAATAGATTTTTGTAACAAGGTAAAAAGAATCTGATTAGTAGTATTAAAGTGCACATCTGCGAGGCTGTAAGCTAGAAGACAGTGGAACAGTGTTAGCAAATTATTGTGAAAAGGATGCAATGCAATAATCTTATACCCAGCAAAGATATCATTCTGTGTGAGATCAGAGCCATTTTATAGACACAAAAGGGTTACCTCCTAACTATACAAAATGACTCTAACAATTATTTTTACAAAATAAAAATGAAATCCCCCTAAATAGTTCAAGAGAAAGAAATGCAAAAAGTATAGGAAGCAGTGGTAAGTGATGAATTGAGTAATTGTAGTCCAAATTACGTGGTTGTGGTAGTGTTACACATCTGGGATAAATTTTCTGAAATCATTTGAAGGCTTGGAGAGCTAGTGGGAAACACCAGTGGAAAATAAACTCCTGGTTCTGTTGTGGTTCTCCTACAGTGTCCTCAGTGTTTTCATTTTTGAAAACTTGGACAGTATTTTAATAGGATCAGGGACTGTTCCATGTTATTGTAATGTGTATTTTAGTCCTTATGTCTTATACTGGCCTAGAGAATATTTTATTTGGTGTTGGTATACATATTTCTATGTGCACATCACAGATTTTATCCCCGCGGATGACGGAGAATTTGAAGTTAAGAAAGCAAGAGTACTGTGTACTTTAGTTCGTTCTCTAACAAGTATGTACATACCTTCAATGTGCACAGCTTGGTGTCTAGAGCCTGGCGAGGTCCAGGGATGCCATAGAGACGGCACCGCTATGCAAGGAATGGGAGCTGTGTGCTCATGTGCCAGTGATGTACCATCTGCCCTTTGCTGTCCTGACAGTTAAGACATGGACATCTGGTTGCGTGTTAGCAGCTGCATTCAGCACATGCTTCTGAGAGACCGTCTTGAGGAATGTAGTTACTGGTGATTGTGTCCGAGAGTTGTGGTTGCTAAGTCCCTGACATCACTCCTGCAACCTGTCTCTTGTGACTGGCTGTCCTCTGTGAAGATAAGAAATCTGGTGTCAAGTTGTGTGTGGTCTTTGCGGCAGCTCAGTGTTCTTGATGTGTCCTCTGACACATCTGGGTCGCTGATGTCTTAGTGAGTGCTGGCCACTTGTTCTCTTCTGGGGAACAGCTCTTTTGAATTGTCCTGCCAGTTTCTGGGTTTGGGAATGGGGTAACAGGCCCTGCAGGGTCCTTCTCAGTGACAGTTTTGCTGGTGTGGGACATCTTTGCTGTCTGTGGGCCACTCTAGGGAGAGTGCTGAGAATCGTTCTGCTACTAGTGATGCTCTTGAGACACGGCCATGGACGAGCCTGTGCAGGTGGCAGAGTAAACATCACTTCTTTCGATGTCAAGTGTCCTTGGAGTGAATTCACACGTTGGAAGCATGTAGCTCCATCAGTAATTGTGCCCACACTCTGAGTGTCGGGACTGGATGAAATAATTACCTCCTTCTTCGTTCTTTTGGGAATGTTCATACTGCTGTAACTGTGACTATCTGGTACACTCAGTCTCATAACAAGATGTGTTTTGGGCACTACTACAAACAAGGTGCTGTGTTGGGAGCTCTGGGGGATATAATATGGAAGGCCTTGAGTTTGTGGCCTAAACTAAAGAGACAACAGGGGAAGAGGAGGTACAGGAAGGCAAGATCATAGCCCGGGGAATGGCTGCTGAGGGTCACTGATAGCTCCTCTTTCATCTTCACTCCCTGCTCCCATCTGAGCCCAGATCCTTTGCTTCTGCCACCTAAGGTGCTCGCTGAGCCACTTCTCCACTGTCCTCTCTACTGTTTTAGTTTAAGCTCTCCTTTTTTTTTTCTTTTTAAAAATTGCAGTAAAATAGACAAAAATTTACCATTTTAAGCATTTTCAAGTGTGAAAGCTCTTAACTGGACTACTGGAATATGTTTTTTTAAATAATTGAACTATCATACAAGCAAAAAGGAATGTGTAATGTAAAAGTACAGTTTAAAGAATATGACAAACACTTGGGGAAACACTTAGCTTAAGAAGTAGAACGTTGCCGGGCGCGGTGGCTCACGCCTGTAATCCCAGCACTTTGGGAGGCTGAGGCAGGTGGATCATGAGGTCAGGAGATCGAGACCATCCTGGCTAACACGGTGAAACCCCGTCTTTACTAAAAATATGAAAAGTTAGCTCGGTGTGGTGGGGGGCACCTGTAGTCCAGCTACTGGGGAGGCTGAGGCAGGAGAATGGCATGAACCCAGGAGGTGGAGCTTGCAGTGAGCCGAGATGGCGCCACTGCACTCCAGCCTGGGTGACAGAGCCAAGACTCCATCTCAAAAAAAAAAAAAAAAAAAAAAAAATAGAACGTTAAGCAAACTTTTGTACGTCCTCTGTGCCACTTTCCTGATGCTAGCCCCTTGCTTTCCCCTAGCGGATAGAATAACCTTTTCAGTCATCTCCCTGCCTCTAGCCTCTGTCCCCATGCCAGGCCTAGAGAGACAGGGCTAAAAGAAAAAATGTTGATAATTGCTCAGTGACTCTGCATGTGTCTTAGTCTGTTTTCTGTTGCTATAACAGAATACCTGAGACTGGGTGATTATATAAAGAATGGAGATTTGTTTTTGACAGTTCTGGAGGCTGGGAAGTCCAAGGTCAAGGTGTCAGCATCTGGTAAAGGGCCTTCTTGCTATGTCATCCCAAGGCAGAAGGTGAGAAGGTGAGGGAGAGTGAGAGAGAAAGCAGGAGAGAGCTGAACTCACTTTTATAACAAACCCACTCTCACAATAAAGAACTTCCTCCCAAGATAGAGACGTTAATCCATTCACGAGAGCACAGCCCTCATGACCTAATCACCTCTTAAAGGTCCCACCCCTCAACACTGTTGCATTAGGGATTAAGTCTCCAACACATGAACTTTGGGGGGCATATTAAAGCCATAGCAGTGTGGTTTGGGGGATAGAGTGCAGAGTCTGGGGCACGGGGTCCAGGCCCTCTCCCAGTTTGGCCTGCCAGGTCTCTGCAGCTGCCCTGTCACCCCATGATACCTGCAGGCTGCAGCTGCACCCTTTGTCCTCTTCCCACCATGGCCGAGCAGTGCTGTCCCCTCTCTTGAGCCCTCCAGCCTACCATGCTGGGGACTTGTGTTGAGCTTTCCTGCACATTGCTCAGCCTGGATGGTTCCTGCACATCCACTTCCTCTGCAAGCATTGTTCGGTTTGAAGGGAAAGAGGAGGGAGAGGATGGGATAAGCCTGAAGGGGAAGGGACCCAAGTTAGTCTTTGAGGGGCCATGGATTTAGATTGGGAAGAGTTAACATCCCTCCTCATCGGTCCTCATTATGTCTTCTTAATGAAAGCTGCTCGTTTTCTTCTTGAGAGCAAACAACCCGATCTTATGACCATTTGTCTTGGTCACCTGGGCTACCCAAATTGAGTGAGAAGACAGGAAGGAGCCGGTGGGTTCTTGGGGAGAGGCAGGTATCCTGGCGAGTTGCCGGTGCCTCCCTTGACTGCTTTTCCTGGAGCTCCGTGTGCCCTCATTCTTCTTGGCGTGGATGCATGTTTTTCTGATGATGAGTCAGCCAGGGTGGGGATGGCGCATTGTTTGAATGGATGTGCATTCACATTGCTGTGGGAGAACGTGGTGGGAGGTGCTGCGGGAGAACGTGGTGGGAGGTGCTGTGGTGAAGTGGCCCCACACGTGGCTGGGCTTTGTGGAGTTTTGACTCTGTCCTTCCCAATGTTCCTCCCCACAGTGGCTGCCTCTGGGTGATGATGGCCGCATGAGCACCCGCCATGGCCCACCGGAAGCGTGAGAACGCAGGGAGCGGCATGTTGGACCATAGGGTGAGACCGGGTCCTGTCCCCCACAGCCAGGAGCCCGAGAGTGAGGACATGGAGCTGCCCTTGGAGGGCTATGTGCCCGAGGGCCTGGAGCTGGCTGCCCTGCGGCCAGAGAGCCCCACGCCCGAGGAACAGGAGTGCCACAACCATAGCCCCGATGGGGACTCCAGTTCCGACTATGTGAACAACACCTCCGAGGAGGAGGACTATGACGAGGGCCTCCCTGAGGAGGAGGAGGGCATCACCTACTACATCCGCTACTGCCCCGAGGACGACAGCTACCTGGAGGGCATGGACTGCAATGGGGAGGAGTACCTGGCTCACGGCGCGCACCCCGTGGACACTGACGAGTGCCAGGAGGCGGTGGAGGAGTGGACGGACTCCGCGGGCCCACACCCCCATGGCCACGAGGCTGAAGGCAGCCAGGACTACCCGGATGGCCAACTGCCCATCCCGGAGGATGAGCCCTCTGTCCTTGAGGCCCACGACCAGGAAGAAGACGGTCACTACTGTCCCAGCAAAGAGGGCTACCAGGACTACTACCCCGAGGAGGCCAATGGGAACACGGGCGCCTCCCCCTACCGCCTGAGGCGCGGGGATGGGGACTTGGAGGACCAGGAGGAGGACATCGACCAGATAGTGGCAGAGATCAAGATGAGCCTGAGCATGACCAGCATCACCAGCGCCAGTGAGGCCAGCCCCGAGCATGGACCTGAGCTGGGGCCTGGGGACTCTGCAGAGGCCTGCCCACCCATCAAGGCCAGCTGCAGCCCCAGCAGGCACGAGGCGAGGCCCAAGTCACTGAACCTCCCTCCCGAGGCCAAGCACCCCGGAGACCCCCAGAGAGGCTTCAAGCCCAAGACCAGGACCCCAGAAGAGAGGCCAAAGTGGCTCCCAGAGCAGGTAGGACTCTGGCTGTCCCAGGGAAGGGAGCAGAGGGGCCCGAGAGCAGGGGACCTCAGGGTACAGGCCTCACAGATGCTGAAGTGAGGGAGTTGGGGGTGCTGGGTGCCTTACAGTTCTGATGGTGGCTGAGCTTGTCATTGGTCCAGTTGGGAGATGTGTTGTGTGGAAGCTCCGGCCACTCTTAAGCTCACCCCTGAGACTCAGGAGTGAAGCCGGTTGAGGGCTGAGTGGCGACTCGTGTCTCGCAGAAGACACCCCTCCTCCCACCCTAGAAGAAAGGTTTGATTTCGTGCCCGCTGCCCTGGGTCTGCTCATGGTGGGACAGTGTCTGGGAGAGCCCCTCCATCCTCAGGGGTGTACTCAGACCAGCAGGGCAGTGGCAGAGACGTGGGGGTGCTGGTGCTCACACACTGCTGTGGCCAGTGTTGGGTGGCCTGGTGCCTGGGGTGGGGGCCAGAGTGCATTTCACAGTGGACGCCTCTCTGAAAGCCCGGGGGCCTTGGCCTGGTGGGTAAATAGCTGTGAATAACTATTTGGAAAAGGATTTTTTGAAGGTTTGACAAAACCTCGGGGAAGAAACGCATGTTAATGAGGGCAGTGGATGTCAACATAACTGTATTTTAATTATAGCAAAGTCAGCGTGCATTCTAATAAACACATTTGAAAAGCTGCCTTCCAAAAAAAAAAAAAAACGAGCCTCACAGTGAATATATAAAGACGATGTGATTATTGGACCTGTGTGAAGTAACTTCTATTTGGCCAAGTATGTGGACTGCTGTCATATTTTTTAAAGCCTTAACTATTTAATATTTTTTTCTGAGAAGAGTTCATGAATTTGAGAGAGAGAGAGAGAGTATGTGTGTGTGTGTGTGTGTGTGTACTGAAAGCTTGGGTTTGGAATGGAAATCATATTGACCCTTGGATTTTCGGCACTTGTATTTTAATGTCTTGTGTTCCCTCTGAAGAACATTAAGTGTCAGTTGACTTCGCTTTGCAGGTGTTCCTGTCATTCATAGCAATTCCGTGTTTACAGGAGGCTGTGGGATGCATAGGAAGTCCCACAGTGTTAGTGGATGTTGGGGGAGTTCACCCCTAAGGCCAGGAGGCTCTGGACCCTGGGTCTAGGCTTTAGTCCAAAGCAGCTTAAAAGTGTTTCTTTGGTCTTTAGCAGGGCATGGGCTTGTCCCACAACAGTGGTGAAGGCACCTCAGAGATTGACGTGGGCTGTGCAGAGCACGTGACATGCTGCATCTTGTTGTGACAGATGGCATTGCTGGCCAAGTTCTTGTCAAAAAAAATCTTTAGAGCGTGGTGGGGAGTAAGCAAGACCTGATATTTTCTGGTTTTGTGCTTCATGCTAACCAGATGGTAATTGGGGTAAAAACACAGAGATCTTGGGGTTGGAGAGCTGGGAGGTACATGAGTGGGAATGATTGGATGGATGGGTGGTAGTAGCTGTTTAAAAGGGCAGGTGGAGGTGGGGGAAGTCCCCAGCCATTGTGGAGGATCAAGAGGAGGCCTGTTCTTCCCAGAAGAGGCATTGAATGGAAAAGTAGGTCGCTTCTCCCCCTAAGGAGAGTGTGTCCTTGAAGGAAATGCTCTTGTCTGAGACGCTGGAAAAGTTCATTTAAACTGGTTAATGATTGTATAGCTTTTGTTCTGTTTTGTTTTACCCTCCCTCCCTCCCTTCCTCCCTCCCTTCCCTCCTTCCTCTCTCTCTTTCTCTCTTCTCTTCTCTTTCATCAGTTCACAAATTAACTCTGTCAAGGGGAGCACCTGCCAGTTACAGAGTTCCAGGCTGACAAGGACCCTGGTGCCGGGGGTCCTGACTACTCTTTCTGAAACCTCTACCAGACCCGCTGCACGTGGGCAGGGTCTCCATGTCCTTAGATTTGAGTACCCCATTCCAGATGAGGACCTCTTTGAAAGCTGACCAGAAAGAGCCGTAGAACTCATCTTGAAAGCAAGATTTTTTATGAAAGATGTTCACTGGGAGATTTGGTGCTGCCTTGCTTGAAATCACAATGTGCTTTCCTAAGAGCAATCCCCTTACTCCCCTGTGGTCAGCCAGGCTGTGCCCGGAGCCAACAAAGGCCTGGCCTCAAACAGGTGCACAGGGTGCCGTGTGTCCTATGCCCACCTCTCTGTTCCCAGTGCTGTCCACATCGTGTCGTGATCCCTATGGTTGAGGCTGCAGTAAAAAAAAAAACAAAAAATCTGAGGGGAGACATTGGCAATATTGGTCACTTAGGTGCTGTAGACTCTTGCTTTCTAACCCTAACCCAGCAGCACTGGCGTTACTGGGGAGCCCCACCCCAAACTGCTGAAACTGAATCTGCATTTCCACAAGATGCTGCATTCCAGCTGTGATGCTGTAGGAGACTCACCTGGAGGAAATTGGGCAGCAACCCTCCCTTCTCTTCTACTCATTGTACAGCTTGAAAAAGTGTGTCCTGGATATTTTTAAGAGGACCGAATAGCATTTAGTCATTGCATGAATGGCAACAGTAGAGTTAGAAAAAATGAGACGATGAAAAAATGTATTCTCCGTGGTCCCTGCTACCCTCACGGATAAGCTGTTTCATCCGTGCGCCTTTTCAGATCATAGCATTGAGCGTAAACGATGTACGTGGCTGTCATCATAACACAGATGTATTTTTGCCATACAGCTTTTAAAATCTGATGTTTGATAAATGTTTCTCCATGTCGCCATATACTTTTCGTGATTGATTGTGGTGACCTTTCCACGATCCATTTGGGCGATGATGTGCCGTGTCACGTATTTCTCTTACGTCCTCTGCCACTAAGCGTGCAGATTGTGAATGGCATTTCCTCTTAGGTGTAAGGCTGCCACAGACCTCTTTGTACAAATCATGTTTTCCTTCTTTGGGTTTATTACCCGAGGAAAAATCCCCATGCCGTACGTCAGCGTTGACCATTTCCCCTCGATGACCTTGCCTACTTGTTTCCCTTCGTCTGTGGATGTTGGATGCATGCCCTGTATCTTTTGGGGTTTGGATGCATTTCCATCTCACAGAAGCACTCTCTACACTGTAGGTGTGACTTTCTGCTGCATATATCCTCTTCTTTAGTACACTTTCTTTTGAATTTCGGTTATATTATTTTCATCATCTCTGCAGCACTTTTAAGATGTTAATGACTCATCTGTGACCCCTCCACCTCCTTTGGGTACAGAGGGATTTAATTGAATGGTTCCTTCTTCCCAGTCTGGGTGGATGTGTTCACAGAGGATATTGCTGGTCGATATGAAAAATGAGTTGCCAGCTGGGTGCAGTGGCTCACACCTGTAATCCCAGCACTTTGGGACGCCGAGGTGGGCAAATCACCTGAGGTCAGGAGTTCGAGACCAGCCTGGCCAACATGGTGAAACCCCGTCTCTGCTAAAAATACAAAAATTAGCTGGGCGTGGTGGTGTGCGCTAGTAATCCCAGCTACTCGGGAGGCTGAGGCAGGAGAAACGCTTGAGCTGGGTAGGTGGAAGCTGCAGTGAGCCGAGATGGCGCCACTGCACTCCAGCCTTGGCGACACAGTAAGACTCCCCACTCCAAAAAAAAAAAAAAAAAAGAAAAGAAAAGAAAAATGAGTTGCTGTCTGTACTCAGAAGTAGGTTGTGTGGCCTTTGGAGCCCTCCCGAGCTGTAGGATGCCATGCATTTTGAAAACACTTCAGTTTGCAGGTAGCCCTACCACCTGTGCAACTCTGCTGAGACCAAGAGGTCTGCCCGGGGACTGGGATATGAGAGACACAAAAGCGATAGAATTTCTAAAATTGTAGGAAGACAGGATGGGGAACAGAGATCTACACATGAATTATTTTAGTAAAATAAAAAAAGTTTCTTTCAAAGCACTGCAAGTTTACTGAGGAAAATTTGGAAAATACAGGCAAAAAAGTCTTTTGCTATATGGCATTGTAGAATTCCCTTGTAGAGAGTTTTCAAATCAAAGAGACAAACCTAGGTCAGGATTTCCCAAAACAGGTTCTTAGAGGTATTCTGTAAACAAAGTACCACTTGATCCTTAATATTCATGGATTTCATATTTGCAACTTTGTTAACTTGTTAAAATTGATTTGTAACCCTGAATTCAATACTCATGGCACTTTCCCGGTCATTAGCGGAGGTACAGAGAAGGGAAGAATTTGAGTCACCCAACTCTCATGTTCCCGGCTGAGGTTGAACAAGGCTTTGCCTTCTTGTTTCAGCTGTCATACTGTAAACAGCTATTCTTTTCACAATCTATTTAGACTAAGTTCTTTGCATTTTTGTTGATGTGTGTGTGTGTGTGTGTGTGTGTGTTGGTGATAAAATGGCCCTCAAGTGTGGTGCTGAAGTCTAGTGATCCTCAGCACAGAATGGCTGCCATGTGCCTTACATGTGCTAGAGAAGCTTCCTTCTGGGCTGAGTGACAGTGCTGACTCATCTATGCAGCCACTCTGGGAGGTGCTAAAGTAACTTCTGTAGTGTATGATGAAGTTAAGGAAAAGATGGAGGAATGGCTAAATTTGCAGATTCATGGGACAATGCCCGATTTAAAAAAGCACAGTGGACAGGCAGAAAACCCAAGAACTTTACTGTCTTGTGATCTAGGGTCAGGGAAGTGTTAAACTCTTCTCAGCTAGTGTTTTGTGATAAAGAAATACTGCATATAATTAATTGTTTGTAAGAAATCTGTATTAAACAAGGTGTCTATAAACAGAAACACACATAAAACAAGGTTCTGTGTTGATTCATTGACAAAAATGTGTCCCGAGGCTCATAGGAGCCTAACCCTGTATTGCCCCTAGGAGCAATGTATTCGGTATTCATCAACTCAGTGCTCAGGGCAGCTTTACAGAACATAACTATATGAATGAGGATTGGCTGTATTTGGTTGACAAATGACTTTGGGAAACTTTGCTCTAAAGCTTTTCCCTTCTTGGAGGTTTCCTGATTTCTCACACACGAGCAGCATAAAGTCCCACGTTCGCTGTAGCGGAGA